CTTGCCGCACGTCTTCTTGGCAGTAACCAGCCAGGCAACAATGGCACAGATTGTGCCCAGGATAGGAGAAATGATGGCTGCCCAGCGATTTTGGCCGTTCCACAGCAGGGTCAAGGTCGCCGGGATCACAGCTGCCGAGATGAGCACGCCCATGAGCAGGTAGAGATAGCCCATGGAGATGCCATTGTACCACAAGCCCGTGGAGATGCAGCAGACGACAAGCATATAAGCCACCATGCTCATATGAGAAATCGAAACTAGGCTCTTGCTGCTGGCACTAGGTCGGAAGTACGTCCGGTAAATGTCGTATGTGAAGATGGTGGAGGTCGCTACCAGCTCAGCACTGAAGGCCGAGGTGACGGCCAAAAACAGCATGATGAGAGTGGCAATGGCACCACCCTTGCCCATGAGGGCTACCGCAGCATACGGCAGAGCCAGACCAGCTGAAACTTGCGAGTCCGTCAGGCGGTTGGGGTACGTCGGAAACTGGGGGGTGGATTCGAGCGCGAGCGCCGCCAGGCCGAGTGTCGTCGCCGTCAACCACGGGATCGCGAACCACGCCGCGCCTCCCATGATGTATCCCGGCAACGCATGAATAGGAGAGGCTGCTATGGATCTATTGTAATAAGCGTTGTCTAAGAACACGGTCCCGAAGTTTCCAACGATATTGATGACGAAGAAGATGGCGCCGCCCTGAGACTTCATCGTGAGGTAGCTGCCGTCGCGGTTGCCGGAGACGGGGTGGGCCTGGGCGGCTTTGACGAGCAGATCGTACACGGCAGACGGACTTCCAAGAACATCCGAGGTGGCGTAGGTCTTGAGTGCAAAGATCATGATGATGATGAGAACGGCAAACGTGTGAATGTAGTCTGTAATGAACGTGGCTTTAAGGCCGCCGGAAACCGTATAAGCCACGACGGGAATGGGGATAAGGAAGATGGCCGCTACGCCATGCATCCCGGTCAAGGCATTCACAGTTGCTGCTCCTCCGGTGATTAGCATGAGGGAGACCAGCATGTTGGTCATGAGGCCAAAGACGATAAAGGTGAAGTGCGCCGCCTTGCCGTATCTGGCCTTGATG